AAATCATCCCACGCAAGAAAAGGCGACACGCGTGTCGCCTTTTCTTGCGTGGGATGATTTTCACGCGCGCTCGCGTTTCGCTCGCTCTACTATCCCTGAGGAAAAATGGGGGACTACTCGTAGTCTAGTCTTGACACATTTCCTTGCGCACCTCAGGTGTTCACATTAATCGCTTTCTGTCAGTTCATCTGTCAATAAACTCATTTTAGGACAGGACACAAATTTGCGTCAAATATCAGAGCTTGTCTTCTGCGCGCCGAATTTATACCATCGGAGCGAGAAATTTTAACTCAGCTATGGTTCTCGTCAAAATCACTTAATGAAAATACTTAAATTCATGGTTGGTGTTAAAAAAGGGTCTTGGTGCAAGTCTTGGAAAAAAAAGAAATTTTTTTTTCGTTTCTTAAGCGAAAGGCAAAATCTAGCGCTTTATGAAGGTCGAATTCGAACCCTCCAAAGTAATAATTATTCGGTACGTTACCTGGTAAGTTACATATTGTCGCCGAAATGGTTTCAAAAGTTCAACGTGAAGAGTTCTGGATGTTATTTCGCATTATGTCCGAAGGACAGAAACTGTGTTCGCCGATATAAGGTAAGAGAGACCTTTATTATTTAAAAAGGTAGAGGAGCAGCTTGTTATGGCTCTCGCATGCGGAGTTCGAGCACATCGGTGAAGCCGGTTTGACGACACTGAGGAAAACAGAGGAAAATATTTACTTGCCTTTGGTATTGTGTATATCCTCGGTCACTACACAATAAGGCACAAATATTAGAATTCAAAGGGCATTTACAACACGCGCCAAAAGAGCCGTGATCCCGCCAAAATGCTCGAACCATCTAACAGAGTGTAAAAAGGGGGCTGGTAGGCAACACACGACTTTTACCTCGCGCCAAAATGCTGCTTGTTCCAAAAATTGTTTTCTCTGGTGGGTACATTATATTCTGGGTTCTACTCTTTGAATGAGTAAATGCGAATTTTGCCGCTTGTTCAGTTCATACTGAGAGGTCATGACACGCATATTGATTTTCTGCGGTTATTGTCTCTGGTCGGCAATTTGTCCTCTGATGCAAGAGCACTTTCTTCGACCTCTTTTGAAACGTAAATCTCTTCCTTTGCGGCTAAATAAGAGTTTTAGGTTGTTTAGTCTTCTCCAAAGTGCCTCCTGGATCTGAATAGCTAAAGGCGATATTCTTTTGTCCGTGAATGTGATGGTTTCCTTCAATTTATGTCACGCTGGGCCCAGCTCGTTTAGTATTTTCTGCACGATGTTAGATTTTCACCGAAAGTGATTTACAGATTCAAATTTCGAGGAATGGATTATAGGAACGCATTTTGTGAAGAGAGATTTTTTAAGTAAAAAGAACTCGGATCCTGAAATCGATCGTGTTTTAGCTAGCCAATTGCAATTTTCATATCCTGTGTTAGTTCGGATAATTCAGTAGGTTATTCTCTCCTCTCCCTCTTAGCTTACAGGCGGCGCGCCCAAGTTTAAGAGGTAAAGAGATATTTTTTTCAAGGGTAAAAAACTCATAGCTTGAATCGATCATGTTTTACTATCTAGCCAATTGCGGTCTTTATGAGCTATGTTAGTTTGGATAATTCAGTAAATTTTTCTCTCCTCTCCCTCTTAGCTTACAGGCGGCACGCCCAAGTTTAAGAGGTGACGAGAGATTTTTTTCAAGGGCAAAAAGCTCGTAGCCTGAATAGACCATGTTTTACTAGCTAGCCAATTGCAGTTTTCTTACGATGTGTTAGTTTGGTTACTCTCTCCTCTCCCTCTTGGCTTCCAGGTGGCACGCCCAAGTTTAAGAGGTGAAGAGAGATTTTTTTCAAGAGTAAAAAACGCGTAGCTTGAATCGATCATGTTTTACTACCTAGCCAATTGCAGTTTTCATGCGCTATGTTAGTTTGGATAATTCAGTGGATTATCCTCTCCTCTCCCTCTTAGCTTACAGGCGGCGCGCCCAAGTTTAAGGGGTGACGAGAGATTTTTTTCAAGGGCAAAAAGCTCGTAGCTTGAATAGACCATGTTTTACTAGCTAGCCAATTGCAGTTTTCTTACGCTGCGTTAGTTTGGTTACTCTCTCTTCTCCCTCTTGGCTTCCAGGCGGCACGCCCAAGTTTAAGAGGTGAAGAGAGAAATATTTAAATTGAAACACTCGTAGCTTGAGTCGATTATGTTTTACTAGCTAGCCTATTGCGGTTTTTATACGCTGTGTTAGTTCGGATAATTCAGTAGGTAATTCTCTCCTCTCCCTCTTAGCTTACAGGCGGCACGCCCAAGTTTAAGAGGTGAAGAGAGATTTTTTTCAAGGGTAAAAAACTCGTAGCTTGAATCGATCATGTTTTACTACCTAGCCAATTGCAGTTTTCATGCGCTATGTTAGTTTGGATAATTCAGTGGATTATTCTCTCCTCTCCCTCTTAGCTTACAGGCGGCGCGCCCAAGTTTAAGAGGTGACGAGAGATTTTTTTCAACGGTAAAAAACTCGTAGCCTGAATAGACCATGTTTTACTAGCTAGCCAATTGCAGTTTTCATACGCTGTGTTAGTTTGGTTACTCTTTCCTCTCCCCGCTTGGCTTCCAGGCGGCGCGCCCAAGTTTAAAAGGTGAAGAGAGATTTTTTTAGATTGAAACATTCGTAGTTTGAGTCGATCATGTTTTACTACCTAGCCAATTGCAGTTTTTATACGCTGTGTTAGTTTGGTAAATCAGTAGATTATTCTCTCCTCTCCCTTTTGGCTTACAGGCGGCGCGCCCAAGTTTAAGAGGTGAAGGGAGATTTTCTTAAACTGAATAGTACATAGCTAAAATCGATCGTGTTTTAGCTAGTAAATGCAGCTTTTTTTACATTGCTTTAGTTTGTATAATTCGGTAGATTTTTCTCTCCTCTTCCTAATGGCTTACAGGCAGCGCGCTCATTCTTAAGAAGCTGTGATAAAGTATAAATTAAGTCACAGCTTGAATCGATCGTGTTTTAGCTAGCCGTTACAGAGTTGTTGTTTTTGTTCATATTTTGTTTTTGTTAGTGTATATAATTCAGTAGATTTTTATTTTCTCTCCCTCTTAAGTCTTGAGCTCTTATGCGATGCGCCCAATCTTACGACGACTGGTGTTGGTTTCAAAAGCGAAATTTAGTCATTGTGATTTTTTTTCTGATCTACGGCTCTCAGTCTGGATAATATTCAGCGTGATGCCTGTGTTTGATGTACACCGGAAACCGGAAAAAAGCTAGTTTTGTCCGCGGGCGGCAATACTTTAATTTCGACAGTTTAAGGTAAAATATTAAGATAATGTCTAAATCATTTGTGAACTGTGATAGTTTTTTTTTCGCGTAAATATCTCTCTTCGATCAAGTGACAATTAGGCCAGATTTATACTAGGGTTGTAAAAATTTCCTCCGTCTATGTTGAAACCGAACAAACCTCGCGGGTATCCGCTTTGGCGGTGATCTCCCTGAGAGATAATTGAGTTGTTGTTTTCATTGTTTATTCATCAAGTCCTCAGTTGTAATTATTTTTCGGTAATATTGTTCTTATTTATTGTTTATTGAGTGGGTCGGCTAAAATTAAAGACGAAGAGTGAAGCTTCAATGCAGAATTTTTGAAGTCTATTTGGTATTATGCTTTCGACAGTGCACGTGAATAGCAACTAGGTTGTGTGTCCACTTAAGATAAACTGGATTAAGTGTCGAAGATGAAAGATTGCTCAATAAAACAAACATTGTTGACAGCTTTAAGATAGGCTCAGGGTCTTTTGATGTAATATAACCCTTGGTTCAAAACAATAGACTTGGCGCCTCGCCCTTCAGAAATATGCGAAGATTGCGACGCTGAACGTCGCAATCCCCTGAAAATCGAGCCTGCGGCTTGTAATGATTCTCATAACCTCAGCTCATGATAACAATGTATGGGTATCGTTAGGACAAAATTGCCGTTGGTCACTATTGGGACTTGAAGGGTTAAAATCAGCAAGAAAAGTGGGTAAGTTGACTTTGTTCATAGCCTGTTACAGGCGTTCAGCTGAGAGATAAATCGACTACATTGTCTTTCTTTCGTCTCGTCAATTATTCAAACTGCTCACCACAGCACCGTTACCTCAATGATCCTTCTATACCACAGTTACCACATGTTTGGGCTAAGAGTCGAGCCCTTTTGGCCTAGAAAACTGAGTTCACACACATAGTCTCCATGGTAGATGCGATTTGCGTGGAAATCATTCTTAAGACCGTTTCAACACTACGGATTTTAGAAGAGAGCTATAGCGTTAATTTCACGTTCATTCGTGTGTGAAACGCCGAAAAAACGCAAGGGAAATTTCATGAATCGAAAATCTAGATCTAGCCGGGGTCTCAAGGGGTATTGTTTTGAATTCATATTTCATCTTTGCAAATCTTGTGGATTGAGTTTTTTGGATTTGGAAGAATGTCTGTGGTACTGCTTACAGACAGCGCATTCAAGCTGATAAGTTCCTTTCTTATTTCTCTGAGCTCCACTGAGTCGTTGCAATCAACAGTGAATCATACCATCATACTATAGAATAAATGTCATGCATCATCTATGTGATCGTGTATAATGTCGGCATTGTCGCTCTTGAGGAAAGTTTTCATCTTTGCCGGCTGAAAAACAACGAAAATTCGAAACCGCAACGGGAAAAGAAAATTGTTAGTCTAACCGTGGAGGGTCGCATTTGTGGGAGTTTAAAATTTTCTTTGGTTTGACGATGCGGGGCGGGGGGGGGGGGGGCGGTCGGGGAGAGAGAGTGAGAGAAGTAGAGGGAAAGAAGAGGGCCGGACGCGCTCTCTCATCCCCCTTCCTCTTAAGGCTCTTTCCCCCCCCCCCCCGATGTTTTTTCTCTCTTGCTCACCTCTGTTTGTATGTGCTACCCTAGCCTGCGTAGCTGGCGGGATTAGCGTGGGACTGCTGTATTGTTTTGGCGGCGGAGCCGCGAGAAGGGTGGGTATACAAGTCAATTTGAAGTCCCTCCCTCGCGGCTTCGCAAAAAAGTTTCCCGGGCACAAGAATCCCGCCAACTACGCAGGCAAGTGCTACCCCCACTACCCGAACGTGCACCTGAAACTGCCTGTCATAAAGCTCGTATTCTTTGTTGACTACTGGGGGAAGCCAAACACGTATGCTCTTTTCTTTGCTGGCCACCTAAAGCTCTTTTTCGTTATAGACCACTGGGGAAACTAATCACAATAAACTTAGTCCATATTTCTCCTTTCAGAATGGCCACCTCAGCTTACGAAGCCTCCTACAAAAAGTACTTTGGAGATAGATTTGATAAAATCACCAAAAACTCTTCAGATGAAGAAGTTCGCAATCTTTATGATCAGTGGGCGGCCGATTATGACAAGGTATCAATAATAATAGCTTGTTAAATCAGGTTGGCTTGTTTTCTAGGGCGTCAAACGAGAGCCTAGTCTCCCTCGCAGCCGTTTTTTGGATGTCACGCAACGCTCCCATCCAATAAACGGCTGCGAGGGAGACTAACGAGAGCCTTGCACGTCCCGTGTTTATGCAACTTCCTCGAAGCATTCCCTTTAACAATAATTCAAGTTATCTATATAGAGTGTACTTTAATGTCACAACCAATCTCTTTCTAGATTTCCAATAAGATTCGTCTATATTCACCTTCCCCTACATGTAGGCGGAAAACGACGAAAAAAAAAACATACCCCTCGTATTGTGCCCTCTCTGGCATGGTTGTCGTGCCGGAACAAAAGCAAGAGATTATTCGCTCTTGGTAAAAGCTATCAGTTATAGCGTGAAGATTACCTTAGATAACACAAACTTGAATGTTCATTCAACTAATGATGGAAGTTTTCTTCTTTTAATGGTATGCCCGTGCAGGAAAATGCTGCCGCTGGCGGGTGCTTCAATAGGCCAGTCGCTGAATGCTTGGACTCCGCCGTGCATCAAGTCTTTCCCAGCGCACCGAAAAATCAGCTGAAAATCCTCGATGCTGGAGCTGGGACAGGGCTGACAGGGTTCGAACTTCATAAACTCGGCTACACTAATATTGACGCTCTAGATATCTCGCAAGAGATGCTGAAGGTAGCTAAGGAGAAAGGCGTGTACAGGAGATATGTCTGCTGTTCTCTGACGGAAAAGAAGATTGATGAGTTTGAAACAGGCGAATTTGATGCTCTGATTGCCACTGGTGTCCTAGTGAAAGCTCATGTTCGTCCAGCGGCTTTTGTAGAAATGATTAGGATGGTGAAGGCAGGTGAGTCTTGATCCAGAACCACCCACCGGCGATCAATAAACAGTTGTCCTTTGCTAACGGAAGAAATGAACACTGCAGATTATTTTCGATTGGTTTTGTCTATGTCTTAGTCTGAATATTTGTTCACCAGTAGAATCCGTGGAGAGAGAGAGTGAATAGAGAGGTTAAGCATCGCTTTTACGTCAAACGGCAAACGTGAATCTGTATCACGTGACCAAGTTTCCCCTTCACTTGTCGTTTACTGTTCATTATTTCTACAAAATAAATTAGAAATTTCACGCAATTTTTCATCCATAGGAATTGTTTTTAACTGTTTCTACCTGTTCATTTTCATTCCATTTTGAGAAATTCTCAACTTGAATCTGACTTTTGCCGTTTGCCGTATTGCCGTATAGGTGAAGCTTAAACCCTCTATTGTTGACATGCGCTGGAACGCTAGCTACCTACCTAATTCTCCTTACGTGATTGTAGTTCAGCGAGTAGAAAATATTCTATCAGACATTTACACCTTTTAATCCGTTTTAGAGGCTACTAACAAAAAGGTTAACTTTTTGAAAAACTCTCATCTCAGGATCTCAGGTGTAATTCTAGCTAGCCTGTTGACAAGCTCTGTGGACAGCAGCAGTTTTTTTGGAGAGTGCGCGCGTGAAGGAGCGGGGAATAGAGAAAAGACGCGAGGGAGCTTAAGAAAAGACGTTTTTGAGCTATGAAAGTCAACCGGAACTGGATGTTTTTCCTTGGACAATGGCTTTGCCCAAATTTTCGGGCAAGTCGTGCGAAAGAGTAAAGACTACACCTAGTTATACAACGCTGGGGGTGTCAAGGCGAAAAGGCCTAACTTCCGGTTTGGGTGCGTCGCTCAAGAAAACGTTTGCAGAAGCTCCCCAATCGCGGCTTCTACGCTCGTCCACGCTCGTGCTGCCCCAAGAACTGCCAACTACGCAGGCTATATTGCCCGTCTTTCTAATTTAAATATGCCCCTACTATGAGCTAAGTTGCAAAATATAAAATACAAATTGCTTCTTTATACCAAGTCTAACGTTATTTTTATCGTTGATAGGTGGACTCATCTGCTTTACCCTTCGGTTCAGTGAGGTAGATGACTACCAACCGAAGATGACGGAGCTAGAGGAAGCTAGAATATGGGAAAAACTCTGCCACAAGAAGATCCCTCATTTTGACAAACCTGACATGCCCAGTCACCTCTTCGGCTTCGTGTATAAAGTTTTAAAGAAATGAACTTTAAATAGATGAAGTATAATCAACTGAGTTGATACTGAGCTTTAACAATTAAGGTTTTATTTAAGGGCTACTAACGTGAGTAATCACAAAATTCTAAAGTTGTTCCTCTTACGCCACGTTGCTTCGGTACAGATTACATTATCCTTCCTTGGCACAACGTAACTCATGTACATTGACTTGTGTGACTTCTCAATTATCACAGCAGCTGTGGCTATAATTCCGAAATAAATGAAGAGGTATGGAAAATCTCTGGAATAGTCCAGTTTCGAATTAAAAATTACCGCTGAATACAAACATTAACGACACATTCACACAGGGTTAGCCTCGACGTAAAGTAAAATATTCAGAAATTCCGGCAGGTAAGTGCTTGAAATTTGAATTTACACAATAGACAGAGTAATAAACAGATCTTTTTCTCGTTGGAATTTGTGAATATATTACTTCAGATGGAGGCTAAGGCTGTAAAAAATGCGTCTTCACTTCTTCAATTCAGCGGTCATAGCGAACTCGAAACTGGACTATTGGAAGTTTTTAAGGTGGCACCGCATAGTTGGCCACTTACGAGAGGTGGTCGCACAGGGAGGTTCGACTTTATTATAAATACCCTATAGTATTGCATAGGGCTGCAAAAGGAACAATGGAAAGTCGTTTTGCACTACCACTCCGCAGTTTTTCAATCGAATATGCCCGAGAAAAGAAAATAGCCAGGCGTGTTTCAAAACGCTTGAAAGCCTTGCTTACGACTTCTACGATGGTTCATTTAAGACAGGCTGCGTCTTTCTGGTTCAATCTTTCACGTTTTATCAGGAGCTCATGGTTTCAGGTTCTGAACATCCTCATCCGCCAAGCGAGGTACTCAACAAAAAGTTTTTTTTACAGCTCCGGGATCCCCGAGGCCCATGCCCTTACCTATTTATACACCATTTTCTTACAGAAATTGTTATATGCAATCGTCTCCCATACTTTCAGTCCATTGAAATGTGGTACCTCCTTTACATACCTACTAATTGGAAGTCTCCTTATCGACACTTTCTCATGGGGAGCTTCTCAAAGAATTCTTATACTGGGAGGCTCCGCCCCGAGGTCTAACCCTTTATTGAATTTTTATACTATACCATTTGTGACAAGAAAAGGTCCCCTTTCCTTAGCGCTCTCTTAAAATATGCTACTTTATTCCTGCCCTATCGTAGTCTCCCTCCCAGCCGTTTTTTTGATGGACATCCAAAAAAACGGCTACGAGGGAGACTAGGGCTATCGTAACGAAATCGAAAAATTTAAGTGTTTATTAACGCTGTTTGTGTTTCATTTTTGAAAGCGATACTTCCTTCACACAACTTCCTTCACACACTTACTCTTGGTTTGAGATCTTCTTGTCAAGTAAAAAGAATAAAAATGATACAGCCATAATGTGCACCTCTGAAAATATTAGTCATAGGTCTTTAAAAAAAACCTAGACGACGAAGTTCTCTGCCCGTCATATACTGTGGGATCCGTATACTGACCTTCCTGGGTGGAACCTCCGCGAATATGAATTAGATAGATAGAGAAGTGTCGCAATAAAATTGATCCGTGGTGGAAATTGAACCCTGGTGGGGTGTGTGTGTGTGTGTGTGTGTGTGTGTGGGGGGGGGGCGTCCGTTTTCGAGTAGGTGCCCCTGAACAGCGTGATGTAAAGCGAAACGAGTCAGGATCATAAAATATACCAGGGTTCCCTATTTTAAACCGGGTAGAGATGAAAGTCAGGGTTTGAAGACCTCGGTTGCGAATCTCTATCTCACTCCCCCCCTCTCCCCTGGGGGGCTAGGGTTGGAATAGCTGTCGACCTAACAACTGCTAGCCAACAGTAACTTGAAGTGTGTCAATATTGTTTTCAAGTTCTTTTCATACTGGCACGCTGACACTTTCGAGAAAGTAAATCACCAAGCTGTCAGCAGAGAACCTAAATCAAATTATATTTCAAAATCGCAGCAGACATCATTTCATTCAGTAAATGCACTATGGACTTTGTGTTCGGGGTTGTCACGAAATCGCCTTGCGTGTGTCATTTACCAACAAAAATCACGCAATATCTAGTCACGCTTTGATTGAGAATTCATTTTTTTGTCGATTTCGGAATTGCATTTTAATGTCTTTGGTGTATTAGAAACAAAATACTTATTTCACATTTGTGTCGTAGCGCTGCGCTCTGTTTTTTCATTGGGATACTCAACAGTAGCATCTGTGGAGGAGAGAGTTTCTTGCGAATGAAAAATTTCGACCGTGGAAATGTATAGGATTTGATTCCGTTTTGCTCGTTATTGTTTTCCTTTTCCGCCCGCCGCTAGGGACGAAACGTCCATAGCGGCGCGGCTAGACAGAAATTTGTTTATGATTTTGTATTATTTTATGTTGCCTCTATCACCCCTCCCTCTAAGCACCAGAAAGACCACACGTGCAAATAAAAATAGCACGTTTACGCAATCGGCGATTATATATTCAGAGAGCACCAGATCCGAAAAACAATTACATACTCGCCGATCGAGATAGGCTGAAATCGTCCAGAAAAGCGGGGAAACGTCGATTAAACTCGAGGATACATCAGTGCAAGACAGTAAGTTGAATTATATACTCTGAAGTGTTAGCTTTGACGTTTTTCATGAATATTAAAGCTTTATTCTCGTCGTTTTAAGTAATGCTCCAGATAAGAAGGAAAGGACCAAAACGCAGTGAACACGTTGGAATGCAAAAAGGTGCTAACTTTACTATTGTCTGTACTATGGTTCTGATTGGTTTAAACATCAAATTTTACGAAATCTTCGCAAAGCAGCATGTACATTAATCCCTTTTTTTCTATCCAACTTTCTTATAACAAAATCTCGTCTGAGTCTAAGTAACACAGAAATCGTATGTGCGGATCATGTAAAATTGTGAACATTTCTTGGCCATTGTTTGCAACTCTTGTGATTGGTCGAAATGTTTTAACACAAAAATACACCCTTTAAAAGTGGAGTTTAAATACATTTTCTTTCGTAAACAGCCTTTTTGTAGATTTATGCACTCTCTGCGTAAAAATGAGAACATTTCTATGTGAGGAAAGTGTATTGCGCCACAACAAAAGAAATTGCTTCCCTTCTTACCTGGATCATTACTTAATACAATAATATTCAAACCTGTTATGTTGTAGCACAGTTGTAGGCCCAAATTTAATTTTTTTTTCTCCGAATTTCAATATCTCGGAGAAATGTGAAGTGTAGAATCAAGTCAAAAAGCCTAAAAGTGCTCAGTAAATTGAAAACGGGTGTTACTAAAACGAAGACCCAAAAACGAAGACCTAAGACCTAAGACCCCTTGGACTAAAACGAAGACCCTATGGACTAAAACGAAGACCTCATGGACTAAAACGACTGATGCTAACCGCTGAGGGCAATGCCCGCTCCCGTAATTTGTTACGGCGGTTTGGGAATGTTGTGGAATTTCCTCTGCAGTATTTAGTTGTGATAGTCAAGTCTATCACTTGGATTATATAAAAGTTTATTAAAAATCCAAGAACACCTAGGAATTATTTACAAACACTGGCAAAATTAACACAGGATTACAATTAAGAACTCTATAAAGCTATAGCAAGTCTATCACTTACCTTTCCTTCAGGGTTCTTTGCGGAAAATATTTTGCATGTTTTAAACCTCTTTTTGCAGAACTAAGGCGAGAGAGCCCTCGCGGCCAAGTGGTAATACCGTCACGTTGGAACAAAGGTCCCAGGTTTGAGTCTCGTCGATTATGCGTTTTTTTTCCTTGTCTTTTTCCTTCTTTTTCTTTTATTATTATTATTTTTTTATCACAGTTATCATAAAAACAACTGTTTAAGCCGTAAAGATTAGTCATTTTTTAACAATAGAGGACAGAATATCGTAACAGTGTATAAAACAAATAAAACCCGGCATAAAGACAAATGAACCTCGCTTAAATGAAACTTGAAATGTTAACCTGTATTCGAGTAATGTTCTAGGTCGAAGGCTTTTTTTCCCCTATTGATGAGGTAAAAAGTAATAAATAGAGCGCGAGGTTCCTCTGCCTTGAATTCGTCAATATGAGAAATTCCCTCCCTGCACTACGTGTTGTCACTGTTTTGATGCATTGATACAATTCTTAGAAAGCTGGAGCACGCGGTTATATTTTCTTAACTCATTACACCCGGGATGACACCCAAATCATCCGACATTGAATTTTGAACCATAAAATATTAGAAAGGCAACGGACCCCCTCCTCCCTCAAACCCCAACTACGCGCCCAAAACACGTTTGGCGGAAGTCTTCAAGACAAATCCTGTCATCAGGCTTTTTGATTGTCAGGCCTCCCATGAACACGCTGATGACCTTTGGGCTTGTCACGCTAATCCTCTTCACCGAGGACGCATAAAATTTAAACCACACGACACACTGGAGGGCTCTCTCGCCTTCACCCTGCAAAAAGCTTTGATTTAGATAAAACTGACGTCATCTTCACCGTAAACACTTCCTAAGAGGTTTAAAACATGCAAAATATTTTCCGCAAAGAAACCTGAAGGAAAGGTAAGTGATAGACTTGACTGTCACAACTAAATACTACAGAGGAAATTCCACAACATTCCCAAATCGCCGTAACAAATTACGGGAGCGGGCATTGCCCTTAGCGGTTAGCGTCAGTCGTTTTAGTCCATGGGGTCTTCGTTTTAGTCCATGGGGTCTTCGTTTTAGTCCAAGGGGTCTTCGTTTTAGTCTATGGGGTCTTCGTTTTAGTCCATAGGGTCTTCGTTTTAGTCCAAGGGGTCTTAGGTCTTAGGTCTTCGTTTTTGGTCTTCGTTTTAGTAACACCCCTTGAAAACTAGAGTTTAGTCCTTTCCGATTCTTGTGTACTGTACAAAACATTACTTCCTCAGGCCTCTAGCGATTATTTTTCGTGATTAATTTACAGTCGTAACTTACTGTGTACCGGTTAATAGATTTATCGTAAGCCAAGTACAAATAACTATTCAAATTTGGGTAGAAAAAAAAATTGTTTTCTGCGATGTGCTTTGCACCTGAAAGGACCTTGGAGCTTGCCAAGCGGAAAATTACTTGAATTGCACGTGCTGTGATGTTACTTCATTCTCGTAATTTTACGACAGTAGAATTCTATGTTTATGTAATCCCTTTCACTTTCATGTGATATTATCATACACAAGAATTCAATCTCTGTCTGTGCGGCATTGCGTGACAGAA